CTTTTACATTTATGACAACAGCTAATTTGCAACCAAAAGGTGAGTGAGCGTAGCGAACGAACTTCAACCTGGAGGCGAGTTAGCGTAGCGAACGAGCTCCAACCTAAAGGTGAGTGAGCGTAGCGAACAAACTTCAACCAGGACGTGATTGAGCCATGCGAACGAGATAATCTTGAAAATTAAGAAGTTAAACGGGGCAAAGCCCGCGGGTTACAGCTAGTATTCTATAAGTGTTGTTGTACGGTTAAAGGTAACGAAGAAAATAAAAACAAACTGTACTTCACATTTCACATTTTATTCTTATGAAGAAAGGGAAAACTTTATTTTACTTGTTTATGCAATTGATAAAACGTAAACGTCAACAAAAAAAATAGCAAATTTATTTTTTCGTCCCATTCTATTCCCTTTTACCTTCCCCGTAGCAGCAAACCTAATGTTGAACCTATTTGATTTGATTGATTTGAATTCAAACCCCACTCGTTGAATCTAATGTTATTTAAATGGGGAATAAATATGTCTTGAAATGTAAATGTTATAGTCAAAATACTATCAGACGAATTGAAATTAGCTTAGTCTGCAGGTTTGCTGCGGTGGGGGTATTTTATACTGCTATAGTTGAAGTGACAGACTAAGATACGCATTAGAATAAAATTAATTCTCCTTCCAGTTTGACTAGACTGAGAAATCGGAAAATAAGTAATCAACCCTTCAATGATACTGAGTGATTGGCTCAGTTCAACTACTTATTGTAATTCTTAAACTGACCACAGATTCACATGGGAATTAGTTGTATAATTCCATCAATAGTCAAAGGTTATGTTTACAACCACAAACTCAATATTTTTATCAGCATTCGATTAAAATGTATACCAACAGTAGACTAAACCTTCGATTATGTAACTTCAGCATCAAAAGTCTCTGAACACACGTTTTCAATGTACTACAATGGTACTACTTAGTTACAATGTTAGGATTGAAGTATGGACATTTAGCAAGTCTTCCCTGGATGGAATTAGTTTTCTTAACTAACATATTTGTTTTAAGAATAACAGAACTTAATTTATCTAAGTCGTTATGATCCGTATGAATTTCTTTAAGTTTTGTAATCATTGTACATTCTCATTCTTAACTTTAATAATATACAAAACTCAAGATTGAATCAATCTGAAAAATAATTCCCTCTAGAGTTTTGCTATTTTGTATTCATGACTATCTCCATCATCCATCTTCATCTTCTTCATCTTCATCTCCATCTTCATTGTCAAAATTGTGTCCTCAATATTATATTATACTAAGCAGCTCTCGTAAATACGCCCTTAAAAACAGCTGTTTTTGCTGCAGGATGACGAAAAATTAGTATATCGATTACCTTAGAGAGTTAAACAAATTTACTCCCTAGAGAGTAATAATGCTACTTTAGACCCGCAACGCGTGCATTAAGCTGAAAATTAATGCACGCGTTTCGGGTCTAAGTAGCATTTTTACTCTCTAGAGAGTAAAAAGAGTTTTTAATACTTATGGAGTAAAAATCAGCTGCTGTCAACTCAGTTGTAAATTTCAATTGTAAACAAAATCGCATGTTATCGAAAGTAGTTAATTGTTGCCCTTGCTCATTTTCCGACCTCGGCTTCGCCTCGTTCGTAAAACTAGAGCTCGGGTCGAAAAGAGTCACTTTAGGCCCTACTCAATGACTATACTTTACACCACCTTTTAAGCCTTATAACGCGCATTGAAATTTGGTAACACATTAAAATATCTTAGCAAATTTGAAAGAGAAGTAAACTTCTTTACATAATTCGGTGATAAGCAGTGAATACCACGTTTGTGGCTACTGTACATGGGTTTGTATGTTGTGTGGAGGGAGGGGGGGAGATCCCAAGGCTCGAAGTTTTAATCTACCACACGAGGGACCGTCTGAGATGGCTGTAGAAGAAGAACCGACCGGCTTACAGTAAGTTGTTGTCTTGTCTGGTTTGTTATATAACACCAAAGTTCTATTTTTACATTAGGTTATCATTCAAAAACAGTATTTTTCATCCTTCATGTCCATGAATTGTGTACAGGTCATTTAAGAATAAAATTGAGTTGTGTAATCTAGGTCGTAAACGGTAATTTGATTTAAAAAAGAGTCGATATAGATTAAGTAGGATTAAAAGGTATTACGTTTTTGCTATAATTCTAGCTTTATAATAGTTTATTTCGTGGTTAGCCAACATTTACATAGACATTTTACTGTACACCCTGAATAATCTCACATTGAAGTATAGTAAACGTTATCTGTTATTCAGTATTAGCATAGCTATGGTATTAGGTACAGAATTACCCTGGTTAAGTAGACTAACATTTTAACGAAAAATACTACTTTTTACAATGGTAACAGCAATGTTCAACCTTTTTTAAAAGGAATAGTTTAATTTGTAAATATTACAATTTAGTGAGCATAGTGAAACCGATTTTTTTACAATTTCGTGGTTGATAATTGATTTTTAGTTAGGTAGAGCCTGCGCTAACAGTTAGACTTTCATGAAAAAAGTACCTAATTTAAGTTATTGACAGGAAAATATTTTACAGGAGGGGAACCGAAAGGGGAAACCCAGTGTGGGCTATACCATTGAACTTTGAGCTATAGAAACCATTAGTTTTGGGGTTTTTGTCCTTTGTGTTTATCTAAGACGGTGCCGGACACCGTGGGCATTTTTTACATTGTTTTTGTGGGCGCGGCCCAAACTGTATTTTTTACAGACGTCAACCTGTTGTCTGATACAGATAGCATAATTAATTAAGAGACCGATTAATTAATTATTATGAGTGGAACTTGTTCCAAAATCGACGTTTTCTCAGGATAGCTCTATAGCAACCTAGGAACCCACTCTATGAGATTAAAATACATGAACAATTCATAGGGCTACGAAGAAAAACTAAGATAATCGTCAAATTCGTGATCATGAACTGTCAATGTTGACACTAACCTTTTCAATCGGTTACTTTTAAAAACACCCACAGACGACTTTTCAAGAGGTAAACTTGGCTAACATTGCCTTATTCGTCTTTCTCTGTGCTCTTAAAAGCTTTCATATTAACACAGACAATAGAACATTATGGTCTATTGTATGATAAAAATATGCAGTACATTTGATATTTTCGTGCGGTGCTTTATATTACATCCAAATATCATTGAAGTTTACTATAACAAGCTGATAAATAATTCATTTAACTGTAAATAAAATTAAACAAATTTCTTGCACTCTGCAGTGAATTTTAACACCGTAAACAAAGATGAATGTTACATAATGCCACACGTTCGGCAAATAAGATAAACCAGAGGCTTCTGCAAACAACAAGTCAGATAAAATAGGACAGAAAATATTTAAACTTCAATTAAATAGTGTTGTCAATTAATTCTGAATGATTGTCAATCAATTAAGCTAAACTTTTTTTCTGTCTCGTATGGAGAAAGTATTGTTTTCGTCAACATTTTCGAATTTTAGTTTTGAGTGGATATATATGGGTCCTTGACCCAAAAAAGTGGTTTTCGAAGTAAGTGTGTGGATGTGTACAGAGCTACAGACTATACCTGTGTCCTGTGGTCCGATTTCGATGAAATTTGGTATGTAGGTACTAAATCCATGGTACATATCACAAGTTTTTTTCATTTTTATTTTTAATGATGATTTTTTCATGATGATTCTTCTTTTATGGAAAATTATGAGTTTGGTGTTGGTTGTTGTAAAGTGGTGTAAAAGATGGATCATTTGCTTATAGCAATTTCATACCCTAGCGTATATTTATTGAAATTAAAAAAATAAAACTAAAATTTACTAATATGGAGAGCTGTTATTCCGTACAGGTCATAAGACTATTATAAACTACAATAGGTGTCAAGCCAAATAGGTAGCAACATGAACTATTATTAAAATGAAATGACAAAATAGATGGACTTGTAGAATGGTTCAAAGGCAGAACAATAAGCAAAAAGTCTTTAGAAAACAATTCTCTATGAAAATAGATTTCCAAATTTCATTGATTTGTAAAGTTACTTTAGGAAATTTTAACATTTTATTCATATTAATTTCAGCTCCAAAGCCTCGACTTTTTGATCCTCTGCCAGGTTTTCTAGGAGAAAAGAGAAATAAACCTCCAAAGACTACTTAAGTTCAATATTAGTTTAGACAAGGTGATAACAAACTGTGTTAAAATTTTGGCATGGTAGTACACACATAAAAGCTGGTTCCAGCTCCTAAACCAGTTTTGTAATCAAATTGATCAAACAACCTTCATATCAAAGTACTCTTTAACATGTGTGCTGTGCATAGCTTCTTTGTCTGGAGCAACCTACAAATTATTAAAAATGACTTAAATAGGTTATACTGTAAATCCCAAAAATGGTTTTCAATTGCTTGGTACTAAAATATTCCGTACAGAAATGGGCAGTGCTCGTCTAACAATCAAAAGGTCGCCGGTTTGACCCTGAGAGGAGTCAGTAGCTTCTTGATGGTTCAAAACTGGACCCAGCTGTTCCTGATCATTGGGCTTTAAATAAATGATCCTGGCTAATGAAACAGCTGATCTTAGTCAGTAACAAAGCTCACAGCTGACAGATCATCTCACTCAACATTATTGACACATTATTGACAAAGAGAGAAAATGGCAGTATACTTCCCACTTGTTAAACCATGCAACTCCATAAATCATGGATAATCGAAAGCTTCATATTTCTAATTCGATTCCATGACCTTACAGTCATTTGTTATATGCACATCCATTACACATTATTACTCACACACACACATTATTACTCTCGACTGTATAACAATCTTCTGAGCATAGACGACACGAGGCAAACTTGTTTATGCAACAGTCCTTAGCTTACACATTTGCAAATTATAATATCTCCTCTGACTGGAATCTTAGTTTATGACTCACTGTTGGAAGATTGCCCAATGTCACAATGGTCTACCTAACATTACCAGTTGGTTGTCGCTCACATTCGTATTGCATTGCGTACAAGGACTGGCAGGAGTTGTGCGGATTTCCAGACAAAGAAGAATTCAGCAGAAATGTCAATAATATGGAATAGTGATTCTGTTTCGTAAGTAAATTTATTTCGATGAATTCCCGTTGAAGAAAATGTATTCTTAAGTCAGCACTAGGTTTTTGTTATTTAACTATTTACTTGATCACCTAGTAAAATTTAATCGAAAAAATTTTCTATTAAAAATAATGTTTATAATTTTATAATCATAATTTTGACTAAGAGTCAATAGTACAAGTAATATTAATAATTACTTATAATGTTGGTTATTCAACCAGAATTGTTTCGGTCTAGTTTACCACATATAATCAGTTGTGCATCTACTCCAGTAGGGTTTCTATGAGGTATTTTGGTATTGGGTTTCAAACACTTTGGATTATATCATTCCCCCTACATGGTAGATCATGTTACCCCCCACATTCGACAGGACAAGCATTTGTCATAAAGACCTAGAGACAGGAGAAGTGTTGTTTGTTTTGCCCAGTAAGTTTACAAGTCAGGAAGATGTGAGTATTTTGAAATAATTTTACTTATCTTCCTGGATAGGCTTCCTCGGTCACTTATTATAGAATTGGGGTCTGGTGACATCCGTGTCAAAATTTACAAATCAAAATCACTTACCGTTACATCCTCAGGGCGACTTGACTCCGCACAGCAATCTTGTGACTTGTTTTGTCATCTGTACCAAGTCAAGCCTTCCTGAGGTTGTCACCATCTAGCAGGCTTATATAGTGGGAACTTAATTATTACTAGCAACCACGCAAACAATAAACTTGTTCAAAATAAAAATTCAATTATGGTTCCAAATATTGTTTTAGTATAAAACACAAGCAACCAAAAGGGGGTCGTGTGATTTTACCAATATCCAGCACTGACTACCATTTACGTTTTATAAGGAGGGGGGACGGTGTCGGACTGTTGTTCTCGTATAATAGAAGAATGTCTAGATCTGGTCCTGTACGTGTGTTTACTAATCAAAACATTAAACGTATATATTGAAATATAAACATTCTTGATGAGTCAGTTATGAGGATATATTTAAAGTTTTTTGTAGTATACCTGATTATCTAGCTCAATATAGATCTTTATTTATACCTAACTGTTGAAACTTTTATCAAATTAAATATTAATGTGATGGTTTTTTCAGGCCCTTGAAACCTATATCTAAAGAAAGTGAAAAAGCTTCAGATCCATCCTTTAAAGATGTGTATCCCCAGGTACGTAAAATTATAGTTTTATTTACGTATTTCAATGCATTAGCATTTTTTATGTTTCTTGTAAGGGCATGTTATAAATAAGTAAACTAAAAAGGTGTGTATGGATTCTTATAATGTTTAAAGCTTTGATCCCTATGACACGATTAAAAAGGAATAGTTTGCTTGATTTCTTCAGTTCCTAAAGGTTACACCAGCATAGATCGATAAAAAATCAAAATACCTGGAGCACTGTCAGTAAATACAGTATGGTAAAATACCTGTGTACCAGAAATTTGGCGCTCTGGTTTTTGGTGGGACGACCAATACATTTAACCCTTTAATACTTTTTACTACAATTTCATTCTTTTTAATATTAATCCTATTTAATTCCTTTATTATTACTATTAATACTATTTAATCCTTACACCAAAATATTTTATGTACCCCAAAGTATCTCAGTGAAAATAAATAAAGGGGAATCTTCTAAGTACATTACATGCAGTAGCTCATACATCTGTTCTTTTTTGTTAAAATAAATGGCTACAGCTGGCCCAATCGATCAAAATTTTTTAGCAGTCGAGAAAAATAACTTGTTTGCAAATGCCAAATACATAGTATTACGTATATCTAGAAAAGATGTCTAGTTCTGTATCCAAAGTCAATGATTCTATCTACCACCATCATTACACTTGCTACAATAAACCTTATGTTTGGTAGGTGGTCATCGTGTGTATCCTTCACTCAGTGTTCATGCAGACAGGCATCAACGTGTCGTACTCTGCGACCACCTTGCCTCAGCTATTGGAGGAAGGCTCTAGTCTACGAGTGACCGAGGATCAGGCGTCCTGGATAGGTGAGGAAGTACAAAGATTTACCAGCTAGAAATACATTTGTCTTTGAATGACCAATGCAAGATTAATGTACGAGCTATGGGCCTTTGTGTAGTTTTGTACGATTATTAAGGTCTACATTGAGCTTTCAACGAGGCCAAAGCGAGCTACTTTAAATCTGAGTCTCACGACATCTGCTTTATATCATTCTTGACTACTCTAGCAACACTTATCATCAATTTACATAAACCTCTGCAACTGGCAACGTATTTCAATAGCTTAACCCCCTTTCTAGACTCTACAGAAATCCAATTGCAGAACACGATTCACACTTGGTGGGAGTGTAGATTTTCTCTCACATCGTTTTCTGTTTCAATGACAAGACTAATTGTAGAATAGGTTATTGGAATTGGGTGGAATCGTGAAACCCAGGCTTGATGTCGTCATCAACGAACATGCTAATGCAGTCTCTAGACACAACTTCTGTCTGATCACAATATATCCCACTTACCTACAGTTTACAGTATTTTCTTCACGTTTTTGTCATTAAATATTTGTGATTTTGAATGTCCATGTGCATATTTTATTTCATATTAATTTTGACAACCTTTGAATTAAGAGATAAGATGACCTCTGTACTAGCCTGACAACTACAGTGTTGAGTCTAAACTAGTTGCCACAACACAACATCAAAGATGATACAATGCAAGTATTTACTAATTTATAGTGTGATCTAAAAAACTCAATAAGATTAATTATCAATTAATTTGATTTGTGTCTACGTTAATTGCATTTTAGTGATCCAAGAGCCTCTAACAGGCGATAATAATCGATGAATACAGATTGTATTTTTTTCACAGTTGTGAACAATTTCCGTTTTTTTTCTGTCTAGCCAGCCTGGTAGCCATAGCCACCTTAGTGGGCTCCCTAGCCTGTGGGGTTCCCATGGATGTTTACGGTCGTAAGGCTACAGCTATCATCACCTGCCTACCCATCAGTCTCGGATGGGTCTTGTTAGCATTTACACCCAACAATGTATGGATGGTCTACATTGCCAGAGTCCTCACTGGGTTGGGTGGAGGTAAGCATCACACTTTAAAATAATTATGTTTTTCCAATATAAGTTTTACAAAATTTGATTTGCACACATTTAAACTGAGTGTATTTTTTTTGGATAGTAAAAACTGTAAACCAATTAACTAGGATGATTTGTTTGGCAAAATCAATGTGACATGACTTTTTAACAATGTTTTCGCATAATAGTACTATTTTTTTTATTACTGAAATTCATATTATGATGACAGGACAGATGTAGTGAGGGGAGGAATTTCCTGAGAAAAACACGTAAAATCAAAGCATGGTCAAAGCGTTCTGCAGACATCCAGTGTACATCCACATTTTATACAAAATTACTTATACTATGTCATAAAGAAGGTGGTAAGCAATGATATGGAAGTTTCACATTTTTTTCATCCAATTAACACATGGTCTCCCTTGAAGGTACGGCTAATGATGCCAAAATTACGATGTTACAACACGCCCTATATTACAATGATGCAGATAATGATCTATTATGCTAGCATTGATTGTAAAGGCAGAGCTGATGAATGTGTAGATTATTATGGCATAGGTTATAATCATACAGCTAATGATGACATATATTATAATGGTATAGTTTATGATGCTCAGGTATGACAACCGTCTGCCTTGTATACATCGGAGAGATCTGTCACCAGCAGTTCCGGCCGATGCTGTTGTCTCTCAACAGTGCCTTTGTGAGTCTTGGCATCGTAGTTACTAACATTCTTGGGGTGTACCTGCACTGGCGCACAGTGGCGTTCTGTTCTGGGATGTTCAGCGTGGCTACTTTACTGGGTGAGTGACCAATGACTCACTATCCTAGCGTTAGGTACTACAGCTTTATATAATTTCATATAGTGTATTTTTTATATGTGTAGGTAATTTTTATACTTTGTTCTGTATTTTGTTTTCATTTTTCAAATTCCAGCTGCAATAGAATCTTTAACACTAACAATAAGTGTATTTTTCAGGTATCTGGTTGTACTGTCCAGAAAGTCCACAATGGATCATCACATATCAGCCAGACAATCTCAGTGAAGCCAAGAAATCACTGGACAGACTCTACACCAACAAGGCTGTGAGGACTTGTAAAATATTTATACACAATTTGAAACATTACCATTAACAATTGTACAGTAGAGTAACATCTACAACCAAGATTTACATTTGACCTTTGACAAATAAGTTACTACTCTAAAAAAGTTATAAGCTTAAAAAAAGGAATTATGCCTACTTTGAAGATTTTATGATTTTTATAATAAGTAACAGTTTTGTGTTAGCTTATGTTTTATAAAACCTAAAAATAGTATTTGACAAGTGAATATGTTATGTGCATCAAGAACATAGTTGTATCTACGAGGGTTATTCAGAAAGTAAGGAAATTTTCCGTCTTACACCAGTAGGTGAATGCTAATTGCACAGTTTCTAGTGCAGACATGTGTTTGTCTTCTCAATGACTATCAGCCGTCATATTGGAGCTCTTGTTTTGCTGACTGTTGTTTCAGTATTACATTTTAAAAAAGTGTCCTGCTAGGTGTGAGGCGCTGGCTGTAATGCACATTTTGATGGCCATAAACTATAAACTGAAAGACATTTCTCGGCAAGTTTACGGAAACAACGCAATAAACCTAAGTTCTGTCCTGGAATGGGGCATTCAGTATCATAATGGCCAAATTAAAGTTGACGTCCAAATTTCATGCCCAACCTCACACACAAATCACATACAAGATCTCCCCCATTTATTCAAATGGTAGATATTCCCACAAACCTCCCTGGTTCAAGCTTCTTTCTTTTGTTTCCAAAAATTAAGACATAGTTAACAGCACAGTGCTTTGATGACAAGTAGCTCCAACTGTGTAGCACCGGGTGGTAGAGCTTGCACGACTTTTAAGAAGAATAGAATTCTACGACTAAGAATCTTCAAAACTTGTCCAAGACTATGATAAGTGCTTCAAGTTGTTGGGCGACTATAAAGAAAAGTAGTACAGTATTTTAGATGCTCATTTAAATGTGGTGTTTGATGAGTCGGTGGCTCAGTTGGTAGCGTCATGTACTTTGGCCCAAGGCAGCGATGTGGGTTCGGATCCCGGCCACAGCCACAAACATTTTATTAGTACAGTTCACCTTCATACTGTACTGGCTCACCCCTTGCTATGCTGGATACGTTCCACGGACAGATCTGTAGTCTATGTGGATGGGCAAATGCAAGGTTAAGAGAGGTCACCAACCTCTTTAAAAAAGTCCAGGCCTACAATCCAATTCGTTTCTTGTACAAACTTTTCATTTTATTCAAAAACATTCGTTAATTCCTAAATAGCCTTCGTTTAAGCATGCAAAACTAGTATTAGATAAATCAAAAGTATCACACAAAATATAATAGAATCCGTATGGTTACCGTACTCTTAAATATTAATAGACTAATCCTCTATAATTCTTCTGCCAAAGGTGTGGCTGGAACGGATAAAGATAATTTACAAAGTAATCAATTAAGAAGAAATGAATTATTATTGAAATTAAATGAAATAATTCATCATTCATTTAATTTAATTTATTATTGTTACTTTTGCACTATTTGTGCGATGCTGTTTACGTCACACGCAAAAAACCTTGTCTAAAAATTTTAAATCTGAGGTTTTCATTACAAAACCGCTACTAGCAAGGAAAACACTTCACTTCTATATTCCAAATGCAATATCAGAAAAACCTAACTTTGTTATATCAAATGTATTTTGTTTGTTTCAGTTTGCCCAGACAGAATATAACAGACTCCTAGATTCTCATCAGACGAGGCAAGTCAACAAACAACCAAGTTCAAACTTCCTCAAAGAAGTCTTCAAGGGTCAAAACCTGATCCCGCTTCTAGTCCTGACTACGATCTTCCTATTCCAACAACTCTGTGGATCATATCCGATATTTTTCTACGCTGTCAACCTGTTCGAGTCGATTGGAACGAGTGTAGACAAGTACGAAGCTTTGATTCTGCTTGGAGTGGCAAGACTGATCATCAGTTTTGTTACTGCAATGGCCTCCAAGAAGATCGGAAGAAGGCCTTTAATGATTGCTTCTGGTATTGGTATGACTGTGAGCAGCGTTGTTGTTGCAGTCTTCTTCAGTCAGAGACCTTATGAGGGTCTTTTCGCTCATGCAGGTAACCAAACCGATCTCACGACTGTGACCAATGCAGACCCATACTCTTGGGTTGGAGCTGCCTCGATTCTCATCTACGTAAGCATGACCGCTTTCGGGTTTCTCATCATTCCTTGGAGTCTAATCGGAGAGCTTTTACCAATGTCCATACGAGGCAATGGAAGTGGTTTCATCATATGTTTTACTCACATAATCATGTTCGGCGCAGTAAAATATTTCCCACATTTTCTAGATGTGTTCAAAATTTCTGGGGCATTTTACTTTTTCTGTTTTATCTCCGTCTCGGGAACAGTCTTTGTGTATTATTTCCTTCCGGAAACTCTAGGTAAAAGTTTCGATGATATAGGAAAACATTTTGAGTCCTTAAGGAAAGGAAGGCGTACATTGGCTGTGTAAGTTTTCTAGTCAACAAACTAGTCAACAAGAAGTTGAGTAATATTTGAATTAGTTGTAAGAGGAGATTTTTATTGATTTCTTAAGACTGATGAGGATTATGTTTATTCTTCAACTAGCAAAGTAAGCGTATTTTAGCTGAAATAACAGGTTAAAACACAAACAGAAATACTTCGTTACAGCAATAAGGACTTGGTGATTTTCTGACTTTTTTTAAAACACAGCATCCTCTACATCAAGGGAAACTTAGAAAGTAGCTTTTCTGTGATGCTTGTTTACAAACTATTTATTTTCTTTTAACAATTGGTATGTATGGACAATTTCTAATGATTACCGTGGAACTTGTTTTTTTTTAACTAGGCTATTTGATAGAATAAATTAGTTTTAAAAACTAATTATAACAATTATTTGTACAGAGAATTAAACTATAGAGGAGACATTCATTGGTACAATTAAGGGTGTCTAGTATTAGTCTCTGGTGTCTAGGATCACACCACCCCTTTGCCATCATGTACTACAACACTAACGGTGGATGAAGCCCCTGTGCCCTGTGCAATAGGAATTTCCGCAAAGTGCTTGCCACACAGAATCTTCCTTGCTCGTCACAAGTATATTTCTGGCACAACCTACTAGAACTGAAAGCGAACGGTTGTCCCATAAGTGTGTTCCTCTGTACCTTACTGCTCTGTCCAATTAGTTATATCAAAATTGTGTCATCTACAAAAAAATATATATATTTCATAACAAGATTAGAAAGTGAGTCATTACTTATTTGAGATCATGTTTGAAGTAAGAGATTTATCGAGCACTTATGGTCAAGAATTTTTTTAGCGTTACTTTTCACTACACCACAAAGATAGTTTTTTCGTAGTTAAAACAGACATTGGATATTTCTTTATTACAGTTAGGAACATTACTAAGGATACTCATAGCATTTTTTAGGACTTATATTGATTGTACAGTTTTGGTTGTTGCTAATTGAAGCAGTTGACAAATCAAAAACAAATCTTTGTTTGTTTACGTCGGCAAAATCCAAAAAAAATATAGTAACACTTTTCACATAGTAAACATTCTTTTCGTGTAGAAAACAATGAAATTTTACAGGAGGAATTTTTACAGGTGATAAACATAAACAAAAACGGGTAATTTCACAGGGTAGCAAAAAAAATATTACTAACTAATAGCAAACATTTATAAGAAAATGTAGTAATACTGTATGTACACTCTTCTTCCTAATGAATACTTTGAATAGTAATACAGTAGACTCCCGCTCATCCGGATCGGCCTTGTCCGGACTCCCGGTAGTCCGGATCGGTTTTTTAGCGGCACAGTACAGTAGAAGTCCGATTATCCGAGCAAAACGGGACCGAGACTACCTCGAATAATGAAAAAAATTGGATAACACGGCAGTAAAAATTATTACCGGTGGAAGTGCATATGCCCGGTCTATCATTACTGTGGACCTGGAACAAAATTCGGCCGAAAAAATTATTACCGGTGGAAGTGCATATGCCCGGGCTATCATTACTGTGAACCTGGAACAAAATTTAAAAAAGGCTATATACAGTACTGTGTATTTGCTCGACTCTCGATAGTCCAGATTTGTTGTAATCCAGACCGGACGTCCGCCACATTAGTCCGGATGAGCGAGAGTCTACTGTACTTTGAATTACTTTTTCTAATAACTTTCTATAGGGTACAGGGTTAAGGCAAACCTTATTAATGCAAGCACAATGTGGTCTGAACAAAAGCAACTTTCAATGTTTTTATATTTTTAACAATTTAAAACTCAAAGAACTAAGCCTATTTTTATATTTCTCTGTTAATATTTGTTTAGGTTATGTCCTTTTATGTCTATTTTAATAAAATAAAATAGGATTTTATGTTTGTTTTATATTATTTATTTTAACACGATATGTCCATATTTAACTTGTATAAAGAAAAAAAAAGAAAAATCTGTGTCCTCCATAGTAATGTAAAAAGGGACAAACCTGGTGTGTGCAATCCCTATTAAACTCAATAATGCCGTCAACTTCCACCCCAGCCGGACACCATTTTTTTTAACGTGGGTATCTCCCACCAACTAAAACACACATTATTGAGCTTAGTATGGATCCACGGGATTCGAACCCACGCATGTATAAAAGGAACTCGTCAACGTAACGCCTTGGCCAACTGAGCTAACATGCCACTGTCAGCCAAATGCTACAAGTGTTGCTATAAGCACACTAGTGCTCTTAGGTGAGATACAATGAACTAATGTCACGAGCTACACACGGGCTTAGGTTTTTTAAAGTGTTAATACAAGCTGAATCTTTACCTACTAGCTTTGTTTTTAACTACTTAAAAGATCCAATCCTTAACAATTTTCAGGCATCAAACTATTGTTTGGCTTAGTGAGGTTTGTCTGTCCATGTAACATTGACAAATTTGACAAATTGACAAAGGTAAAAATTAAATTAGGTTTTAAGTAAAAACATCTCATCAACAATATTGCTACAAGAATTTAGTACTTTTCGATTATTTTTCGTTTGCTAAGTATACTTTGTATATTAGTGTTAAACATTTTATACAGTAAAAAGATCTGAACCAAAACAAGCTTTGTATTTTATCCTCCTTCATATAACAAAAACAGTTTTGATTGTTTCCTAGATCAAACAAGGTTAAGCTTTGAAAACGAATTGATTTTAAAACAAACTATGTCCTTTGAACAAACTTTTAAAAAATTGAGACAGGTAATTAGGAGAAAATCCACTTCAACAATGTGAGAATGTGTGGTGCTGGGCATATACTCTGACGGACAATAAGATACAAGACGTTATAATTGACCAACTTCCAATGATGTTGCTACTTGAATCAAAGCTGATGATGGCTGCCCAGTTGGCAACCCAGAGTTTGTATACATAAAAATTGGAGCTCCAGAAATTTTTGATAGCACCCCACTCTTCACGATTGGATCCGATGGCCTATTGTTTACTTTTCCCGTGCAAGGAACCGAGTTTTGTTTAGGGGATGTCTCAAATCAAAGAAAGAGCTTCTGCTAAAAGAAATAAAGAGACCCAACTTCAATTTGCTACACACAGATTATTGCTAAGGCGACAATTTGTCGTCAGTTCTTCATACTGTAAAAGCTCTGTTTTTCTAGACAGGCTTGAAGTTAAACGTTATAAATTGAAAGCTTTCAAATAAAAACTTTAATAAAATAAAGTCTTTGCTTTGATGAGAAATTTGAAAGCTCATTCAATGCTTGAATGCTTTGAAAGCTTCATTCATGTTTGACTAGTTTAGCTCGTTCTTCTTTTATGTTCTCATAAAACTGAACATATTTCTGTGGGATACAGGACACAAGTAGTCACATGTAGTGTTTGTGGACGCGCAAATGCAAGATTAAAAAAGGCTGCCAACCTCTTAATAAAAAGCTGGATGAGATAGAGGTTTCAAAGTGAAACTGAAATAATATTTGATAGAGGAGATTTATTCATTTAACAAATAGAAGATCTACCAATCACGATGATTGTAGACTACTAGGTATTCTGCTGCACATGTTACACACATGTTACATGCTGCCTATGTTTCATTCTTGTTGCATGCATATCCTTTAGGTTTCAGTAGAAACAGAAATATTTAATGGTTGTTTTGAGTCTCCTTAGAGATGTTCTTTTACTTTTTGTATGTGATGCATTTATTTTTTTTTTTTAATACTATCTTGGAAATTTTGTCAAGTAGAATAAACACAGAACTAAAAGCAAATAAACTAAATGAAATATTTAAAAAGTTTATATTCCATAAGTTAGTTTCTTTAAACAGCAGATGATTATTAATGACAGTTTAGTTTTATGACACTTCCATTATAATTAATTAGGTATATTATCCATGAAATATTGAAAAACAAAATTGTTACAAGATAAAAATTAACTTTTAGATCTATCTAGTCATGGTCAGGTTCCAATCTAATAAACTAATCCATCTATAGTTTTACTATAAAAAATATATTACAAAATACATTAAAAAATACAGATAGCACATTCACAAACTCACAAAAACAATATCACTGCGGCAGTTGTAGTACTGATGGGTCAAATGGTTGGCCTTGAAACGGAGATCCTTGAGCATTCCATGCTTTCTTGAGAATATCAATTTTCTCCTGAAAGCACAATAAAAATTATAATTTGTTGTCATTTCTAATAGAATGCATTTTAATTACCAGCTGATCCTATGATAGACATCATCATCATCGTCTTGTCTCCCATGGTTGCAACCAAGAAAAAAAATTGAGGCCTCAAGTAAGTGAGGCCCCCGGCAACCGCTGTTAGGAAAATACGGACCTGCTTGGGACCAGAAAATTTTCGATTCTGAATTATCGCCAATGACGTTAGCTAATCCCTGTAATGACCACACACCGCGTCAATGACCGTTTGTCGTATTTCTCCGTCGTTCTGTAAAGTGAAAAATATTGTGATTGCCATTCATCATTACAATGAAGCCCAACTCACAGGAGTTGCTGTGATTGTAATAAATCCAAGGGCGGTCCCAGGGCGGGTCAGGGGGGTCATGACCCCCCCAAAATATTTTTTATATATATAAACTATTATACCAGGGGAACTTTAATAATTTTTATTGCAAATCGTTCTGCCAAATTGAAATTTATTGTAGTCTTTACACTTGTGGCGAATGAAAGGACTAATTACAATCTCTAACCTAAAACTCATCGTTCGAGTCTGACTGTTTTTTTGTACGTTATGAAAAGTAGGGAAGATCGGCAGACGACGGACGCTTTCAGCCTATACAGCAACGGCAGTGTCCAATGCTGACATTCGACATTCGGCCGCATTCTTCTTCTTATTTATTTTTTCGGCATTTAATGTTATCATTCATTTTAACATAGATAATTGAAAACTTGAATTGGGCTCGGGTATTGGATAAAGAAAAGAAGTACGTAAAGAGGAAAATGTAGCGAACGAGCTAACCTGAAGGCAAGTGAGCGCAGCGAACGAGCTCCAACCTAAAGGTGAGTGAGCGTAGCGAACGAGCTCCAACCTAAAGGTGAGTGATCGTAGCGAACGAACTTCAACCAGGACGTGATTGAGCCATGCGAACGAGATCATCTTGAAAATTAAGAAGTTAAACGGGGCAAAGCCCGCGGGTTACAGCTAGTATCATATATAAGAATACCACAACCCAATTGGCATGTTGCTAGCCATAAAACAACAACAAAATGGTAGTGTCTCATATTGTATATTAAACACCAAGTTTTATAACAGTTATTTATTAATAAGTTTAACAAGGATTCATAATGTAAAGATGTAGTAACTCTAACTGAAGTCTTACTTTGTTTGTTTTTTTGCATTCATAATAAACAAAGAACATTTAATTTAATATTATCAGCTGATTGTATGTACAGGATATAATAATCTTCCCTGGAAAAGAATCAGTGTATTGCCTCTTCAGTATTCTCTGAGATCTTCTTATTACAGATGATGGATAAAATTTCTTTGTCCTGTGTGATGCTTGAGGAGAGTCATTTGGTTTGTTTACCACTTGAGCATGTTTCTGTGACTCAGACTCTGAGGCTTTGTCGGACTGTTCATTTAAAGATACTAGTGTAGAGCGCATTTGATCAACATGGCATTTAACCATTAAACCTTCAACTTCAACTTCATAATGGCAGTTTCCTAATATTTTGACCACCTTACCAAATTTCCATTTAGGATGATTACTTCTGTAGTCTCGAACTTGAACGTTATCGCCGGTGCTAAAACATCTTAAGGTACCAACGCCTTCTGTGTCAGAGATCCTTTTCGCCTTTAGCAGATCAATTCTCGTACGTATACTCCGTTTGAACATCATCTCCGCAGGGCTTCTTCCGGTGCTTATGTTCATAACTTTACGAGTTTGTAGAAGGAATCTACTTAGGTTTGTATGGATGTCTCCAGATTCTTCAGCCATTGCACTTAGTTTCCTTTTTAGAGTTTGTACATAACGTTCCCCTTGTCCATTTGAAGCTGGGTGATATGGTGCCATTAGTTTATGTTGGATACCATTGGATTCCATAAAATGTTTAAATTCATGTGAAATGAACGCAGGACCATTATCACTAACAATTGTACTTGGAATGCCGAATCTTGCAAACATTTCTCTTAAGATTCTTATAGTAGAGAAACTAGATATGCTTTTTGTTTCCTTTACTTCCAACCACTTTGTATATGAATCTACTGCTATGAAAAAGTATGTACCTCTGAATGGTCCTGCATGATCTATGTGCACCCTTTCCCAAGGAATATTGGAGTTTGGCCATGGTTCATGGTACTTTGGAGGATCGTTTTTATTCAATGCACATGGCTTACATGAATTTACATAGTTTTCTATGTCAGAATTCACTGTAGGCCACCAACAATACTGCCTGGCTAGCTCTTTCATTTTTGTAATGCCTGTGTGAGCTTCATGTAGTTCTTTCAGAATAGTTTTTCGTAAAGCACATGGAATTACAACTCGTACTCCTCTAAATAAACATCCGTTTTCAATTGACAGTTCTCCCTCTAAACCTTTGTATTGTTCAGGCTTCGTAATGTAAGAGGATGTCATTAGTGCATTGTATACCAACTTTAATTCTGGATCGTTCATAGTTTCCCTTCTTACTTCATTACTTGTGACAGGAAGGGAATTCAGTTGTACTTGTAAAATGTATTTGTCTGATGCTGTTTCATCTAAGGTTTCTTGATGATCACATGTATTGTTAACAGGAAACCTTGATAGGAAATCTGCGTTGACATGATTCGATGCTTTACGATACTGTATTTCGTAGTCAAAACCTGACAGAAATAGAGTGTAGTGTAACATTCGAGTGGCGGTTAAGGGTGGTAGGCATTTTGAGGGATGGAAAATAGAAGACAATGGTTTGTTGTCGGTTATAAGTGTAAACTTTCGACCATAGCAGTAATGGAAAAACTTATGAACACCCCAGTAGATCGCAGTCGCTTCCTTAATAATGTGGCTGTAATTTTGTTCTGCCTTACTTAATGTCCTTGAAGCAAAAGCTATAGGTCGTTCTGTTCCATCCGGCATCTTGTGAGATAAAACAGCAGATAGTCCATGAGGCGAAGCGTCCGTGGCCAGTATCAGTGGTAGGTTTGGTGAAAATGTTGTAAGAACCCTCTCTGATGTGATTTCCTTCTTAATACCCTCAAAAGCATCATTACATCGTTTTGTCCATGTATAGGTTTTCTTCTTATGTAGCAGTTCATATAATGGATGTATCTTAGTTGCGAGGTTGGGTAGAAACCTGTGATAATAGTTTACAAGCCCAAGAAACTGCTTCAATTCAGTAACGTTAGTGGGTATGGGACATTTCAAAACAGCTTCTATCTTATCATGGCTCTTATGCAATCCTTTTCCATCAATTTTGTATCCTAAGTAGTTCACAGACTCTTGAAAAAACTTACTTTTATTCTTGTTTATGTGCAAGTTGTTTTCCTTCAAACGTTCCAACACCTTGATCGTGCGTAGTTTTGTTTCTTCAATAGTCCTTCCTTGAACTATTATATCATCAAAGAAAACAGCAGTACCTTCCAGTCCAGTTAAAACTGAGT